TAAATATATATATATAATATATAAATACATATATTATATATTTAATATAATTTAATTATAGCTATTATTAATAATTGACTGTTTTTAATTGATATTAATATATATTTAGTGTGTATATTAAATATATATAACATTTATATATTATATTATATATATATATTTACTTTGGATGGGGTAGAGAGGGGGACAAATGGTGTAAGGGTGGGCTCTGGGCACCGAGATTATAAAGATAACACAGAAGTCTGGGACATGACCAGATATGGGATGGGCTTCTCGATTTCCACTAGCAGGCATTCAACAATGCTACATTTTTTTTTTTTAATTCAATGCCTAGATAGCTTCCTGATTAGTTTGTCATAACTCAAGGAGCAATTCTGATGATTTCTGTTTTCTCCATGACTTTTATTCTTCCAGCTTTCTCAGCAGCTGTCCCACCTCCCTGGCTATTCCCTTAGCTAACGCCCATGAACACCTCCAGGGGCCATTTTTCCAAGCTCTGTGCCTCTTCATCCCTCCCCACCTGTCAAACGGCTGTCTTGCAAACATGCTGCCTTCCCTGATGCCTCAATGCTGTTCCCTCTGCCTTTTTTTCATTTTGACACTGTATTTCTTATTTCTACAAGTTTGAATGGGTCTATTTTATATCTCTCATGTCTTTTTAACCTTTGGAACATATAGAAAAGTTATGGTAGTTTTTTTAAATGTCCTTGTTTGCTATTTCATGTCATTTTTTTAATGAGTTTTAATTGATTTGTTATGTCATATTTCCCTGCCTCTTTGCATGGTTGGTCATTTTTTCCACTTTATTGAGATATAATTAACATGTCACATTGTGTAAGTTTGCATATCATGAGTTGATTTGATACACTTACATACTGCAAAATGATTACTATGATAACATTACTTAACATCTCCATTATATCACATAATTAGCAATGCCTGGTAATTTTGGATTGGATGCCAGACACTGCAAAAAAAATTTAACTCTTTGGGTGCTGGATACTTTTGTATTCCTGTAAATATTCTTGAGATTTTTTCTGGATTCAGTTAAGTCACTGGAAACAATTTGATCTCTTTACTCTTTTAAGGTGCTTCTTAGGTGGGACCATACCATGTTTGGTCTAGTGCTAAATATTTCCTACAAGTGAAGCAAGACCTTTCTGAATACTCAATACCCGGTGATTATGAGGTTTCCAGTCTAGCTGGAAGAACAAGCACTAATCCTGGCCCTGTGTGAGAGTACTGCTCCTTCTAGTCCTTCTGGGTCGTTTTTTTTTTTTTTCCCCTCAGTTGTCAGAGCATTACCTCAGAGGCATACAGAAGAGGACTTAGCTGAATAGGGATTCTGCATTCTTTGAAGCTCTCCCTCTGTATAGCACTCTGCTTTCTAGGTTCTCTGTCTGGTGAACCCAAGCTGCTTCAGTATCCCCAGATTCAGCTCCACCTCCTCAACTCAGTCTGCTGAAGCCCACCCAGTGCCCCTACCTCTGCCAGAGTCCCTGCAGGACTCCTGTCACTGCATCTCTTAAGCAGCACTTGTTTGAATCCTTTCAGAGGATTAGGTGTTCATCTACCCTATATCCTTTCAAATAAATCCCTTTCTTCCTTAAAGTAGCCAAAATTGGTTTGCAAACAAAAAACCCAAACTAAAAGTCTTTGCCTCTCTTAATTCATTTACGTGTCTGGGCCTAAGACCTGGCACATAGTTTTTAGCTTTCTCTTGAGTGGGAGAAATCATATCCACAAATACCAAAGGTAGGCAATTGTTCATACCTAAAGTGACCTAGCTATGTAGCTATTGGTGAAACATTACTCTTCAATTGTTGGTGAAACAAATTTCTAGGACTGTACTAATCCTAAAGCTAAAAGTTACAGATCCAAGAACCGGGAGGCAGCTTAGCACCAAGCAAGAAGCATTTACTGCACACATTTTTATGAGTCTAATTTTCCATTTAGATACTCATTTTCTCCACACATTTTCAATTCATGAATCTTACCCTTTAAAAATTCAAAAACAATCCATTTCTAAAAAAATATATGAGTCTCAAATCTACTTGCAAGTGTTAGAGTTAGCTTTCCACTTTCTCATAGTGGAAAAACCGTGGTTTTTAGTCCTATCATTAGAAATTGTTTGGTCTTTATTTAGTCAAGATAATTGAACTATGGTCACTATCTGCACAAGAATCTAAGGTATTGTAGGGCTGGAACTGTATTTTAAGTGTCTTGCCTGATGCATCTCATTCAGTGGCAGGAGCACAGTAATATTCCTATTAATTTATTAACTCAAATCAGTGCTTTAATATAACTATCAACTTTGCATTTTCTCAAGAGCAAGAATTTTGTGTCAATGTGTAATCTAGTTAATTCTGTGCACAAATACATGATTTTCCTAAAAATGTTTTAATACACTTAAGCAAAGACTTTTACAGTTACGCCGCACTCTGTACACAGTAACTAGTGCAGTGGCTTCTTAATAATCTGGTTTGGATCCATCTTAAGTAAGGAGATTTAAAAATCCCTTCAGTCCTACCAGTCCTCCATTCAAAACATCACATTGTTTTCCTCCAGTGTGTGTTTCCGGGTGATGATAGCGACAGATCTGCCCTCAGCGCCAAGGCCGGAGGCCAAGAGGAGGTAGACTCGCTCCTGCGCCCGAGCCTCCCCGCGCCCGAGGCCAAGCGCACACCGCGGGCCTCCCCAGTTCCTGAACCCGACACGCGACCGCACGGGCTGGGCGCCCCTCCTGCCTCCTCTGCCGAGAAAATAAGCCCAGGGCCAGCAAGGCGCAGACCCCGCTGGCGCCCCTGTGCTCCTCCCGCACACCGCAGCCCGGCAGCCGCGCGCAGAAGGATCCCCTCCGCCAAGGCTGCTCCCAACCCCGTCTCTGACCCAGGGCGCCCAGCATCAGAAGAGGGGGAGGCGGGCCGGTCGCTCGCCACCTGCAACTGAGCACTCACGTCCTCCATACTGCCGGCCGCCGGAGGCCGCAGCCGAGCCTCCCAGTCTCCGCACCTGCGCCCACACCGCCTTCCGGAACACGCCCTGGGGCCCGCCCTTTGCTTTCAATTGGCCGAAGCGGAGAGGCGGGCCCCTCCTCCTCGCTCCAGGGCCCGGTTTCCGGCGGCCGTCCCAGACCCTCCCCTCGCCCTCGATTGGCAGAGGGGCAAAGGGACTAGTCCCGCCTCTCGCGAACTATTGGTAGATTCCAAGGGGGCTGACCCGATACCTCAATCCAGAATGGCCGAGGAGAAAGGGGCGTGATCCTGCCTAAAGTCCATCCCTAGGAGGCCGCTGCCTCTGGGAACGCTGCGGTGCCTACCTGCGAAACCTGAGCTGGTGTCCTAGGTTGGCCGGAGATTTGGGTGCTAATGGATGCGTTCTAAGTCCAAGAATTGAACTATTTTTGGCCGTCAGCTGCTTCTTTGTAAAGCATTAGCTTTTATCGGACTTCCTTAGTTACTGTTTGCAGCGTAGGTCTGTGCATAGGACCAGCGGTAGAATCCCAGGTTTTCATTGATAGCACAAAACTCCACCAGCAGAGGAACACAAACATAATAAAAAGTGGTTTCGAGGACACAGTTAAAGATTTCACCAGTGGGAAAGGAGGCAATAAGAGGGGTTTTTGGACTTTTTATTTCAAGTGAAATTGAAGAAGAAATTTTCTGGCATTTTTCTGAGAATACACTATCTTTTGTTAAAACGTGAAAGTGAAGTCGCTCAGTCGTGTCCGACTCTTTGCGACCCCGTGGACTGTAGCCTACCAGTCTCCCCCGACCGTGGGATTCTCCAGACAAGAATACTGGAGTGGGTTGCCATTTCCTTCTCCAGGGGATCTTCCCAACCCAGGTATCCAACCCGCGTCTCCCGCATTGGAGGGAGACACTTTAACCTCTGAGCCACCAGGGAAGCCTGGTTAAAATGTAAAGAAAGTTAAAATTCTTGTCAGTATTAGCCCCCATTCTATTCTGATATTGTAGTAATACACTTTCATACTTTTTTAATGCTTATTTGTACATTGTGTATGGTGTAATCTTGTTTATATCATTATTGAAATAATATTATTTAAGTATCAGCAAAGATGGAAGAGCAAGCAGATCAAGCCAGTCAATACTAAAGGAAATCAACCTGACTATTCACTGTAAAGACTGATGCTGAAGCTGAAGCTCCAACAGTTTGGTCACCTGGTGTGAAGAGCCGACTCATTAGAAAAGATTGATGCTGGAAAAGATTGAGAGCAGGAGGAGAAGGGGGCAACAGAGGATGAGATGGTTGGATGGCATCACCGACTTGATAGCTATGAGTTTGAACAAATTCAGGGATGTAGTGAAGGACAGGGTAGCCTGGCTTTCTGCTGTCCATGAGGTCACAGACAGTTGAACTTAGCAACTGAGCAACAACATAATAAAAGATGAACTTTTGATCTTTCAAATCTCAACGCAACTTTAAATCTTTAAAATTTTCTGAGACTCTATGAATTATATCTCAAGAGCTTTGTCTAGATGTGCATTTCCCCTCAACATTTTATTTTAAAAGTTTTCAAACCTGGGAAACTTTGAAAAACTAGTACAGAGAACATCCGTATACCCCTCACATTGATTCAACAGTGGTTAACATTATCTCAACAGTTAGTTGCTCTGTGTGAGGGCTCTTGCTTGTGTGTGTGTCACATGTTTTTAAATTGAACTATTTGAAGGTAGATTGAGTTCAAAGTGAAGCTGTTTCTAGATAGTTCATTGCCTAAAAGGAAGGATGTTTTCATGTTAACTGCAGGTTTCCCTGGCGGCTCAGATGGTAAAGAATCCACCTGCAAGAGACCTGGGTTCCATCCGTGGTTGGGAAGATCTCCAGGAGAAGGGGATAGCAACCCACTACACTATTCTTGCCTGGAGAATTCCATGGAGAGAGCAGCCTGGCAGACTCCAGATCATGGGGTCACAAAGAGTTGGACACAACTGAGCAACTTTCACTTTCCTTCTTAACTACAATAATATGATTATGCTTAAGAAAACCAATAGTAATTCCATATTTGCAAATCCATGGCAAAAATTTCCAAATTGTCCTGCAAATGTATGTTTCGTTGCATCCCTTCACCCAACAATCTAGGATCCAATTGTTGGGAGAGTGTGTAATTTCCTCAGTTCTGTCTCACCACAGCAAAGATTTGAATGGTGGGCCAGTGTTACAGCTCCATTACAGCTCAGAGTTTTATTCCACAGACAAAGGATAGTACACCCTCGAGGCCTGAGGGCAGGCCGAACCCAAAGGAGAGACCCCAGCCTGTCTTAGCTCCCTCTTTTTAAATGTTTTGTCTCCTCACCCTCTGAGCCTGTGCTATGCAAATCAGGGCTAGCCAGGAAGGGGGTGTGTTTGTTTCGCCTGAGGTTCTCACTCTGGTCTGTGTATTTTTCCTTTGTTCCCTTTGTGTGGGCTTTTCCCTTTGTTTGTCGTTTTGCCACCACCACTTTAGACTCCTTTTTCCTATTCTAACTACCTAAAATACTCCCCTCAAGAAATGGGAGGCCCAATTCTTTGGGATTAGGGGCACCAAGGTCTCTCTGGCTACTTCCTGCTAAGCTGGGTCAGCAAGGGGCATTGGGCTTCCCCCTCTTGCTAGTCTCAAGCCTCAGAGTCCTTATAGTGGTATCCGTCTAAGGGTGAGTGATAGATGTTTTCTGTGGTTGGTATAGTTTTATATATCCTTGTTGAACTAGCACTGCATTTTGTAGCTTGTTGACCTGGGCAGAGACAAAATGAGTTAAATAATTGATACTACATGGAACAATTATAAGCAGTGTCAATATGGTGCTAATAGGGATTAGTAGGGACATTAGTCAACTCCAAATCCCCCCTCACTAGGAGAAAGATCCCCAAGGAGAGATTATAGCCACCCTGAGGACTCTCCAGCTCATTCTTTGAGATCCTGTAGGATCTGAATATTTTTCTTGAGGACTGTGAGACTTTCTTCAACTCGGCTGGAGGGGTTTAGCCAGAAACAACACATCTCATTCAAGATAGCCCAAGTACCTCCTTTTGGAACCATCCCATATGATCTTCTTGAAAGCCCTTACTCTTAGCTTTATGAGTCTCACCTTCAGTATATAAAGGAGTTTCTGGCAAATTAATCTGTGGAACTAGGGTGGCAACTCCTATTAGGTCATGGTTCTGTAACACTGCTCTCTTAGCTGCCTGATCAGCTGCTTGGTTCCCTTGTGCCTCTTCCATGCTCCCTTTTTGGTGTCCTTTACGGCAGGACACTAGATTGAGGACAACACCATTGGTTGATTACAGCATCATACTTGATTGAGGACCCTCTGGTGGTCAAGTGGCCTCTTCCTTTCCAGCATGTGCATGTAGCGCCAGAAAGGCATACTTAGAGTCGCTGTAGATGGCTACTCTTTTTCCTTTTCCCAGCTTTAAAGCTTGAGTCAGAGCTATGAGCTTAGCCAATTGGGCTGATGTACCTGGTGGCAACAGTTAGCCTCTATGGTCTCGAAATTGGAGACTACTGCATATCTTGCTCTTCTTTTTCCATCCAAGACAAAGCTGCTTCTATCAATGTATCAGATTTCCTCAGCATTGGTCAGAGGATCTTTGGGCAATCCCTTTCAGGGTTTTGTCCATGGTCCAAAGTTTCTAGGCTGGAGTGAAAGGGGAGAGAGCCCTTGGGGGTAGGCAGGAGGGCAGCTGGGTTAACAGCCTCACAAGGGGATATAGTCAAGCCTGGATTTTCACCAGCACTACTTCATACCTGAGGATCCTTTGATTGGACATCCATAAATTGCCTCTCCCATTCAGGAGTTGTTTCACTTGGTGGCTGGTAAAAATAGTTAGTTTTCTCCCCAGAGAGAGTTTTAAAGCATCTTCTATCAGGACTGCAGTAGCTGCAAGATTTCAAAGGCAGGGAGGCCAGCCTCAGGTGGTTGGGTCGAGCCTCTTGGATAAGTAAGCTACTGGCTGGGGCTCAGGTCCCAACCTTTGACTTAACACTCCCAAGCCTATTCCTTCCTTTTCGTGGACACATAGTTGGAATGCTTTTTCTGGGTCTGGCAACCTCAAGGTGGGTGCTTGAGTTAAGGCTTGTACACTAAAGTAGCCTCTACCTCCTTTTGAGGAGTTCCCCTCTTCAATGGGATTGAATCATCCAGTTCCTTTAAGCTTTCATGTAAGGGCTGGGCGGTAGACCATAGTTGGGTATCCAGATCCTACAATACCCAGTTAGCTCACTATTGTTTTAGAGTTGTGAGGAAAGGCAACTGCAGGATTCCTTGTTCTCTGTAGGTGGACAGCCTCCTGGACCCATGCATAATCTGAACTCCCAGGTAAGTGACCATTGTCTGAACTATCTATGCCCTAGCACAAGAGATTTTATATCCCCTCTCTGCCAAAAAGTTTAGAATTTGAATCACACTTTACTAGGCATTTCCCTCATCTACAGATTAGTAGGTCACCTACATGTTGTAATATTTTCTCATTTGGTCCCAGATCCAGATCTAGGAAATCATAGCTAAGAGCCTGTCCAAACAGGTGAGGACTATCTCTGAACCACTGATGTAATAATATCCAGGTTGTTGTTTTTCTCCTGGAGCCTCCCATAGTTTTTGGTCCCTCCCTGTTGGAGAGGGAGTAACGGGTTCCTCAGTAGTAACCAGAAGCTGTAAGGCTCTAGGGGCTGAAAACCTTCCCATCACAAGTGTGGTTCCCAGCTTAGTGAGTATATTTCTTCCCATTAAGGGAGTAGGACACTCAAGGACCACCAGAAACTGGTGGGAAAAATATTTGCCCATCCCAGTAACAAAGAAGTGCTCAGGTGAATCTTTTTGTAATTGTTTTTCCTGTAGCACCCAAAATGGTATAGGTTTGGGAGGAGAAGGCTCTGGAGTAGGAGGTCAGGATAGAGTGGGTAGCCCCTGTGTCAACCAAAAGAATTCTTGGGTCTACCTGCCACATTCAGTTGTACCCTCGGCTCCAGCCCTGTGATGGTTATCTATGACAGGCGGGCTGGCTGGAGTGGGCCACTTCAGTCCTGTTGAACCAT